CCGAATTCGCTGGCAAACAATGGCAAACGATGCCGTTGATGCTACAGTTCGTGTGCTGCTGTCCGAATTCGCTGGCAAGCAATGGCAAACGATGCCGTTGATGCTACAGCTCGTGTGCTGCTGTCCGAATTCGCTGGCAAACAATGGCAGACGATGCCGTTGATGCTACATTTCGTATCCTGCTGTCCGAATTCGCTGGCAAACGATGCCGTTGATGCTACAGCTCGTGTGCTGCTGTCCGAATTCGCTGGCAAACAATGGCAAACGATGCCGTTGATGCTACAGCTCGTGTGCTGCTGTCCGAATTCGCTGGCAAACAATGGCAAACGATGCCGTTGATGCTACAGCTCGTGTGCTGCTGTCCGAATTCGCTGGCAAACAATGGCAAACGATGCCGTTGATGCTACAGCTCGTGTGCTGCTGTCCGAATTCGCTGGCAAGCAATGGCAAACGATGCCGTTGATGCTACAGTTCGTATGCTGCTGTCCGAATTCGCTGGCAAACAATTGCCACTGATGCAACAGCTCGTGTGTGGCTGTCCGAATTCGCTGGCAAACAATGGCAAACGATGCCGTTGATGCTACAGTTCGTATGCTGCTGTCCGAATTCGCTAGCAAACAATTGCCACTGATGCAACAGCTCGTGTGTGGCTGTCCGAATTCGCTGGTAAACAATGGCAAACGATGCCGTTGATGCTACAGCTCGTGTGCTGCTGTCCGATTCGCTGGCAAACAATGGCAAACGATGCCGTTGATGCTACAGTTCGTATGCTGCTGTCCGAATTCGCTGGCAAACAATGGCAAACGATGCCGTTGATGCTACAGTTCGTGTGCTGCTGTCCGAATTCGCTGGCAAACAATTGCCGTTGATGCAACAGCTCGTGTGTGGCTGTCCGAATTCGCTGGCAAACAATGGCAAACGAGGCCGTTGATGCTACAGCTCGTGTGCTGCTGTCCGAATTCGCTGGCAAACAATGGCAAACGATGCCGTTGATGCTACAGTTCGTGTGCTGCTGTCCGAATTCGCTGGCAAGCAATGGCAAACGATGCCGTTGATGCTACAGCTCGTGTGCTGCTGTCCGAATTCGCTGGCAAACAATGGCAGACGATGCCGTTGATGCTACATTTCGTATGCTGCTGTCCGAATTCGCTGGCAAACGATGCCGTTGATGCTACAGCTCGTGTGCTGCTGTCCGAATTCGCTGGCAAACAATGGCAAACGATGCCGTTGATGCTACAGCTCGTGTGCTGCTGTCCGAATTCGCTGGCAAACAATGGCAAACGATGCCGTTGATGCTACAGCTCGTGTGCTGCTGTCCGAATTCGCTGGCAAGCAATGGCAAACGATGCCGTTGATGCTACAGTTCGTATGCTGCTGTCCGAATTCGCTGGCAAACAATTGCCACTGATGCAACAGCTCGTGTGTGGCTGTCCGAATTCGCTGGCAAACAATGGCAAACGATGCCGTTGATGCTACAGTTCGTATGCTGCTGTCCGAATTCGCTGGCAAACAATTGCCACTGATGCAACAGCTCGTGTGTGGCTGTCCGAATTCGCTGGTAAACAATGGCAAACGATGCCGTTGATGCTACAGCTCGTGTGCTGCTGTCCGAATTCGCTGGCAAACAGTGGCAAACGATGCCGTTGATGCTACAGCTCGTATGCTGCTGTCCGAATTCGCTGGCAAACAATGACAGACGGTGCCGTTGATGCTACATTTCGTATGCTGCTGTCCGAATTCGCTGGCAAACAATTGCCACTGATGCAACAGCTCGTGTGTGGCTGTCCGAATTCGCTGGTAAACAATGGCAAACGATGCCGTTGATGCTACAGCTCGTGTGCTGCTGTCCGATTCGCTGGCAAACAATGGCAAACGATGCCGTTGATGCTACAGTTCGTATGCTGCTATCCGAATTCGCTGGCAAACAATGGCAAACGATGCCGTTGATGCTACAGTTCGTGTGCTGCTGTCCGAATTCGCTGGCAAACAATTGCCACTGATGCAACAGCTCGTGTGTGGCTGTCCGAATTCGCTGGCAAACAATGGCAAACGATGCCGTTGATGCTACAGTTCGTATGCTGCTGTCCGAATTCGCTGGCAAACAATTGCCACTGATGCAACAGCTCGTGTGTGGCTGTCCGAATTCGCTGGCAAACAATGACAGACGATGCCGTTGATGCTACATTTCGTATGCTGCTGTCCGAATTCGCTGGCAAACAATGGCAAACGATGCCGTTGATGCTACATTTCGTATGCTGCTGTCCGAATTCGCTGGCAAACAATGGCAAACGATGCCGTTGATGCTACAGTTCGTATGCTGCTGTCCGAATTCGCTGGCAAACAATTGCCACTGATGCAACAGCTCGTGTGTAGCTGTCCGAATTCGTGGCAAACAATGACAAACGATGCCGTTGATGCTACAGCTCGTGTGCTGCTGTCCGAATTCGCTGGCAAACAATGGCAGACGATGCCGTTGATGCTACATTTCGTATGCTGCTGTCCGAATTCGCTGGCAAACGATGCCGTTGATGCTACAGCTCGTGTGCTGCTGTCCGAATTCGCTGGCAAACAATGGCAGACGATGCCGTTGATGCTACATTTCGTATGCTGCTGTCCGAATTCGCTGGCAAACAATTGCCACTGATGCAACAGCTCGTGTGTGGCTGTCCGAATTCGCTGGCAAACAATGACAGACGATGCCGTTGATGCTACATTTCGTATGCTGCTGTCCGAATTCGCTGGCAAACAATTGCCACTGATGCAACAGCTCGTGTTTGGCTGTCCGAATTCGCTGGCAAACAATGGCAAACGATGCCGTTGATGCTACAGTTCGTACGCTGCTGTCCGAATTCGCTGGCAAACAATTGCCACTGATGCAACAGCTCGTGTGTGGCTGTCCGAATTCGCTGGCAAACAATGGCAAACGATGCCGTTGATGCTACAGCTCGTGTGCTGCTGTCCGAATTCGCTGGCAAACAATGGCAAACGATGCCGTTGATGCTACAGTTCGTGTGCTGCTGTCCGAATTCGCTGGCAAGCAATGGCAAACGATGCCGTTGATGCTACAGCTCGTGTGCTGCTGTCCGAATTCGCTGGCAAACAATGGCAGACGATGCCGTTGATGCTACATTTCGTATCCTGCTGTCCGAATTCGCTGGCAAACGATGCCGTTGATGCTACAGCTCGTGTGCTGCTGTCCGAATTCGCTGGCAAACAATGGCAAACGATGCCGTTGATGCTACAGCTCGTGTGCTGCTGTCCGAATTCGCTGGCAAACAATGGCAAACGATGCCGTTGATGCTACAGCTCGTGTGCTGCTGTCCGAATTCGCTGGCAAACAATGGCAAACGATGCCGTTGATGCTACAGCTCGTGTGCTGCTGTCCGAATTCGCTGGCAAGCAATGGCAAACGATGCCGTTGATGCTACAGTTCGTATGCTGCTGTCCGAATTCGCTGGCAAACAATTGCACTGATGCAACAGCTCGTGTGTGGCTGTCCGAATTCGCTGGCAAACAATGGCAAACGATGCCGTTGATGCTACAGTTCGTATGCTGCTGTCCGAATTCGCTGGCAAACAATTGCCACTGATGCAACAGCTCGTGTGTGGCTGTCCGAATTCGCTGGTAAACAATGGCAAACGATGCCGTTGATGCTACAGTTCGTACGCTGCTGTCCGAATTCGCTGGCAAACAATGGCAAACGATGCCGTTGATGCTACAGTTCGTGTGCTGCTGTCCGAATTCGCTGGCAAACAATTGCCACTGATGCTACAGTTCGTACGCTGCTGTCCGAATTCGCTGGCAAACAATGGCAAACGATGCCGTTGATGCTACAGTTCGTACGCTGCTGTCCGAATTCGCTGGCAAACAATTGCCACTGATGCAACAGCTCGTGTGTGGCTGTCCGAATTCGCTGGCAAACAATGGCAAACGATGCCGTTGATGCTACAGCTCGTGTGCTGCTGTCCGAATTCGCTGGCAAACAATGGCAAACGATGCCGTTGATGCTACAGTTCGTGTGCTGCTGTCCGAATTCGCTGGCAAGCAATGGCAAACGATGCCGTTGATGCTACAGCTCGTGTGCTGCTGTCCGAATTCGCTGGCAAACAATGGCAGACGATGCCGTTGATGCTACATTTCGTATCCTGCTGTCCGAATTCGCTGGCAAACGATGCCGTTGATGCTACAGCTCGTGTGCTGCTGTCCGAATTCGCTGGCAAACAATGGCAAACGATGCCGTTGATGCTACAGCTCGTGTGCTGCTGTCCGAATTCGCTGGCAAACAATGGCAAACGATGCCGTTGATGCTACAGCTCGTGTGCTGCTGTCCGAATTCGCTGGCAAACAATGGCAAACGATGCCGTTGATGCTACAGCTCGTGTGCTGCTGTCCGAATTCGCTGGCAAGCAATGGCAAACGATGCCGTTGATGCTACAGTTCGTATGCTGCTGTCCGAATTCGCTGGCAAACAATTGCACTGATGCAACAGCTCGTGTGTGGCTGTCCGAATTCGCTGGCAAACAATGGCAAACGATGCCGTTGATGCTACAGTTCGTATGCTGCTGTCCGAATTCGCTGGCAAACAATTGCCACTGATGCAACAGCTCGTGTGTGGCTGTCCGAATTCGCTGGTAAACAATGGCAAACGATGCCGTTGATGCTACAGCTCGTGTGCTGCTGTCCGATTCGCTGGCAAACAATGGCAAACGATGCCGTTGATGCTACAGTTCGTATGCTGCTGTCCGAATTCGCTGGCAAACAATGGCAAACGATGCCGTTGATGCTACAGTTCGTGTGCTGCTGTCCGAATTCGCTGGCAAACAATTGCCGTTGATGCAACAGCTCGTGTGTGGCTGTCCGAATTCGCTGGCAAACAATGGCAAACGATGCCGTTGATGCTACAGCTCGTGTGCTGCTGTCCGAATTCGCTGGCAAACAATGGCAAACGATGCCGTTGATGCTACAGTTCGTGTGCTGCTGTCCGAATTCGCTGGCAAGCAATGGCAAACGATGCCGTTGATGCTACAGCTCGTGTGCTGCTGTCCGAATTCGCTGGCAAACAATGGCAGACGATGCCGTTGATGCTACATTTCGTATGCTGCTGTCCGAATTCGCTGGCAAACGATGCCGTTGATGCTACAGCTCGTGTGCTGCTGTCCGAATTCGCTGGCAAACAATGGCAAACGATGCCGTTGATGCTACAGTTCGTATGCTGCTGTCCGAATTCGCTGGCAAACAATTGCCACTGATGCAACAGCTCGTGTGTAGCTGTCCGAATTCGCTGGCAAACAATGACAAACGATGCCGTTGATGCTACAGCTCGTGTGCTGCTGTCCGAATTCGCTGGCAAACAGTGGCAAACGATGCCGTTGATGCTACAGCTCGTGTGCTGCTGTCCGAATTCGCTGGCAAACAATGACAGACGATGCCGTTGATGCTACATTTCGTATGCTGCTGTCCGAATTCGCTGGCAAACAATTGCCACTGATGCAACAGCTCGTGTTTGGCTGTCCGAATTCGCTGGCAAACAATGGCAAACGATGCCGTTGATGCTACAGTTCGTACGCTGCTGTCCGAATTCGCTGGCAAACAATTGCCACTGATGCAACAGCTCGTGTGTGGCTGTCCGAATTCGCTGGTAAACAATGGCAAACGATGCCGTTGATGCTACAGCTCGTGTGCTGCTGTCCGATTCGCTGGCAAACAATGGCAAACGATGCCGTTGATGCTACAGTTCGTATGCTGCTATCCGAATTCGCTGGCAAACAATGGCAAACGATGCCGTTGATGCTACAGTTCGTGTGCTGCTGTCCGAATTCGCTGGCAAACAATTGCCACTGATGCAACAGCTCGTGTGTGGCTGTCCGAATTCGCTGGCAAACAATGGCAGACGATGCCGTTGATGCTACTTTCGTATGCTGCTGTCCGAATTCGCTGGCAAACGATGCCGTTGATGCTACAGCTCGTGTGCTGCTGTCCGAATTCGCTGGCAAACAATGGCAGACGATGCCGTTGATGCTACATTTCGTATGCTGCTGTCCGAATTCGCTGGCAAACAATTGCCACTGATGCAACAGCTCGTGTTTGGCTGTCCGAATTCGCTGGCAAACAATGGCAAACGATGCCGTTGATGCTACAGTTCGTACGCTGCTGTCCGAATTCGCTGGCAAACAATTGCCACTGATGCAACAGCTCGTGTGTGGCTGTCCGAATTCGCTGGCAAACAATGGCAAACGATGCCGTTGATGCTACAGCTCGTGTGCTGCTGTCCGAATTCGCTGGCAAACAATGGCAAACGATGCCGTTGATGCTACAGTTCGTGTGCTGCTGTCCGAATTCGCTGGCAAGCAATGGCAAACGATGCCGTTGATGCTACAGCTCGTGTGCTGCTGTCCGAATTCGCTGGCAAACAATGGCAGACGATGCCGTTGATGCTACATTTCGTATCCTGCTGTCCGAATTCGCTGGCAAACGATGCCGTTGATGCTACAGCTCGTGTGCTGCTGTCCAAATTCGCTGGCAAACAATGGCAAACGATGCCGTTGATGCTACAGCTCGTGTGCTGCTGTCCGAATTCGCTGGCAAACAATGGCAAACGATGCCGTTGATGCTACAGCTCGTGTGCTGCTGTCCGAATTCGCTGGCAAACAATGGCAAACGATGCCGTTGATGCTACAGCTCGTGTGCTGCTGTCCGAATTCGCTGGCAAGCAATGGCAAACGATGCCGTTGATGCTACAGTTCGTATGCTGCTGTCCGAATTCGCTGGCAAACAATTGCACTGATGCAACAGCTCGTGTGTGGCTGTCCGAATTCGCTGGCAAACAATGGCAAACGATGCCGTTGATGCTACAGTTCGTATGCTGCTGTCCGAATTCGCTGGCAAACAATTGCCACTGATGCAACAGCTCGTGTGTGGCTGTCCGAATTCGCTGGTAAACAATGGCAAACGATGCCGTTGATGCTACACTCGTGTGCTGCTGTCCGATTCGCTGGCAAACAATGGCAAACGATGCCGTTGATGCTACAGTTCGTATGCTGCTGTCCGAATTCGCTGGCAAACAATGGCAAACGATGCCGTTGATGCTACAGTTCGTGTGCTGCTGTCCGAATTCGCTGGCAAACAATTGCCGTTGATGCAACAGCTCGTGTGTGGCTGTCCGAATTCGCTGGCAAACAATGGCAAACGATGCCGTTGATGCTACAGCTCGTGTGCTGCTGTCCGAATTCGCTGGCAAACAATGGCAAACGATGCCGTTGATGCTACAGTTCGTGTGCTGCTGTCCGAATTCGCTGGCAAGCAATGGCAAACGATGCCGTTGATGCTACAGCTCGTGTGCTGCTGTCCGAATTCGCTGGCAAACAATGGCAGACGATGCCGTTGATGCTACATTTCGTATGCTGCTGTCCGAATTCGCTGGCAAACAATTGCCACTGATGCAACAGCTCGTGTGTAGCTGTCCGAATTCGCTGGCAAACAATGACAAACGATGCCGTTGATGCTACAGCTCGTGTGCTGCTGTCCGAATTCGCTGGCAAACAGTGGCAAACGATGCCGTTGATGCTACAGCTCGTGTGCTGCTGTCCGAATTCGCTGGCAAACAATGACAGACGATGCCGTTGATGCTACATTTCGTATGCTGCTGTCCGAATTCGCTGGCAAACAATTGCCACTGATGCAACAGCTCGTGTTTGGCTGTCCGAATTCGCTGGCAAACAATGGCAAACGATGCCGTTGATGCTACAGTTCGTACGCTGCTGTCCGAATTCGCTGGCAAACAATTGCCACTGATGCAACAGCTCGTGTGTGGCTGTCCGAATTCGCTGGTAAACAATGGCAAACGATGCCGTTGATGCTACAGCTCGTGTGCTGCTGTCCGATTCGCTGGCAAACAATGGCAAACGATGCCGTTGATGCTACAGTTCGTATGCTGCTATCCGAATTCGCTGGCAAACAATGGCAAACGATGCCGTTGATGCTACAGTTCGTGTGCTGCTGTCCGAATTCGCTGGCAAACAATTGCCACTGATGCAACAGCTCGTGTGTGGCTGTCCGAATTCGCTGGCAAACAATGGCAAACGATGCCGTTGATGCTACAGTTCGTATGCTGCTGTCCGAATTCGCTGGCAAACAATTGCCACTGATGCAACAGCTCGTGTGTAGCTGTCCGAATTCGCTGGCAAACAATGACAAACGATGCCGTTGATGCTACAGCTCGTGTGCTGCTGTCCGAATTCGCTGGCAAACAATGGCAGACGATGCCGTTGATGCTACATTTCGTATGCTGCTGTCCGAATTCGCTGGCAAACGATGCCGTTGATGCTACAGCTCGTGTGCTGCTGTCCGAATTCGCTGGCAAACAATGGCAGACGATGCCGTTGATGCTACATTTCGTATGCTGCTGTCCGAATTCGCTGGCAAACAATTGCCACTGATGCAACAGCTCGTGTGTGGCTGTCCGAATTCGCTGGCAAACAATGACAGACGATGCCGTTGATGCTACATTTCGTATGCTGCTGTCCGAATTCGCTGGCAAACAATTGCCACTGATGCAACAGCTCGTGTTTGGCTGTCCGAATTCGCTGGCAAACAATGGCAAACGATGCCGTTGATGCTACAGTTCGTACGCTGCTGTCCGAATTCGCTGGCAAACAATGGCAAACGATGCCGTTGATGCTACAGCTCGTGTGCTGCTGTCCGAATTCGCTGGCAAACAATGGCAAACGATGCCGTTGATGCTACAGCTCGTGTGCTGCTGTCCGAATTCGCTGGCAAGCAATGGCAAACGATGCCGTTGATGCTACAGTTCGTATGCTGCTGTCCGAATTCGCTGGCAAACAATTGCACTGATGCAACAGCTCGTGTGTGGCTGTCCGAATTCGCTGGCAAACAATGGCAAACGATGCCGTTGATGCTACAGTTCGTATGCTGCTGTCCGAATTCGCTGGCAAACAATTGCCACTGATGCAACAGCTCGTGTGTGGCTGTCCGAATTCGCTGGTAAACAATGGCAAACGATGCCGTTGATGCTACACTCGTGTGCTGCTGTCCGATTCGCTGGCAAACAATGGCAAACGATGCCGTTGATGCTACAGTTCGTATGCTGCTGTCCGAATTCGCTGGCAAACAATGGCAAACGATGCCGTTGATGCTACAGTTCGTGTGCTGCTGTCCGAATTCGCTGGCAAACAATTGCCGTTGATGCAACAGCTCGTGTGTGGCTGTCCGAATTCGCTGGCAAACAATGGCAAACGATGCCGTTGATGCTACAGCTCGTGTGCTGCTGTCCGAATTCGCTGGCAAACAATGGCAAACGATGCCGTTGATGCTACAGTTCGTGTGCTGCTGTCCGAATTCGCTGGCAAGCAATGGCAAACGATGCCGTTGATGCTACAGCTCGTGTGCTGCTGTCCGAATTCGCTGGCAAACAATGGCAGACGATGCCGTTGATGCTACATTTCGTATGCTGCTGTCCGAATTCGCTGGCAAACAATTGCCACTGATGCAACAGCTCGTGTGTAGCTGTCCGAATTCGCTGGCAAACAATGACAAACGATGCCGTTGATGCTACAGCTCGTGTGCTGCTGTCCGAATTCGCTGGCAAACAGTGGCAAACGATGCCGTTGATGCTACAGCTCGTGTGCTGCTGTCCGAATTCGCTGGCAAACAATGACAGACGATGCCGTTGATGCTACATTTCGTATGCTGCTGTCCGAATTCGCTGGCAAACAATTGCCACTGATGCAACAGCTCGTGTTTGGCTGTCCGAATTCGCTGGCAAACAATGGCAAACGATGCCGTTGATGCTACAGTTCGTACGCTGCTGTCCGAATTCGCTGGCAAACAATTGCCACTGATGCAACAGCTCGTGTGTGGCTGTCCGAATTCGCTGGTAAACAATGGCAAACGATGCCGTTGATGCTACAGCTCGTGTGCTGCTGTCCGATTCGCTGGCAAACAATGGCAAACGATGCCGTTGATGCTACAGTTCGTATGCTGCTATCCGAATTCGCTGGCAAACAATGGCAAACGATGCCGTTGATGCTACAGTTCGTGTGCTGCTGTCCGAATTCGCTGGCAAACAATTGCCACTGATGCAACAGCTCGTGTGTGGCTGTCCGAATTCGCTGGCAAACAATGGCAAACGATGCCGTTGATGCTACAGTTCGTATGCTGCTGTCCGAATTCGCTGGCAAACAATTGCCACTGATGCAACAGCTCGTGTGTAGCTGTCCGAATTCGCTGGCAAACAATGACAAACGATGCCGTTGATGCTACAGCTCGTGTGCTGCTGTCCGAATTCGCTGGCAAACAATGGCAGACGATGCCGTTGATGCTACATTTCGTATGCTGCTGTCCGAATTCGCTGGCAAACGATGCCGTTGATGCTACAGCTCGTGTGCTGCTGTCCGAATTCGCTGGCAAACAATGGCAGACGATGCCGTTGATGCTACATTTCGTATGCTGCTGTCCGAATTCGCTGGCAAACAATTGCCACTGATGCAACAGCTCGTGTGTGGCTGTCCGAATTCGCTGGCAAACAATGACAGACGATGCCGTTGATGCTACATTTCGTATGCTGCTGTCCGAATTCGCTGGCAAACAATTGCCACTGATGCAACAGCTCGTGTTTGGCTGTCCGAATTCGCTGGCAAACAATGGCAAACGATGCCGTTGATGCTACAGTTCGTACGCTGCTGTCCGAATTCGCTGGCAAACAATTGCCACTGATGCAACAGCTCGTGTGTGGCTGTCCGAATTCGCTGGCAAACAATGGCAAACGATGCCGTTGATGCTACAGCTCGTGTGCTGCTGTCCGAATTCGCTGGCAAACAATGGCAAACGATGCCGTTGATGCTACAGTTCGTGTGCTGCTGTCCGAATTCGCTGGCAAGCAATGGCAAACGATGCCGTTGATGCTACAGCTCGTGTGCTGCTGTCCGAATTCGCTGGCAAACAATGGCAGACGATGCCGTTGATGCTACATTTCGTATCCTGCTGTCCGAATTCGCTGGCAAACGATGCCGTTGATGCTACAGCTCGTGTGCTGCTGTCCGAATTCGCTGGCAAACAATGGCAAACGATGCCGTTGATGCTACAGCTCGTGTGCTGCTGTCCGAATTCGCTGGCAAACAATGGCAAACGATGCCGTTGATGCTACAGCTCGTGTGCTGCTGTCCGAATTCGCTGGCAAACAATGGCAAACGATGCCGTTGATGCTACAGCTCGTGTGCTGCTGTCCGAATTCGCTGGCAAGCAATGGCAAACGATGCCGTTGATGCTACAGTTCGTATGCTGCTGTCCGAATTCGCTGGCAAACAATTGCCACTGATGCAACAGCTCGTGTGTGGCTGTCCGAATTCGCTGGCAAACAATGGCAAACGATGCCGTTGATGCTACAGTTCGTATGCTGCTGTCCGAATTCGCTGGCAAACAATTGCCACTGATGCAACAGCTCGTGTGTGGCTGTCCGAATTCGCTGGTAAACAATGGCAAACGATGCCGTTGATGCTACAGCTCGTGTGCTGCTGTCCGATTCGCTGGCAAACAATGGCAAACGATGCCGTTGATGCTACAGTTCGTATGCTGCTGTCCGAATTCGCTGGCA